CCAGATCGCACATAGCTGACCATGGTTCAATTCCAGCCCGGGCAGTTTGAGAAACATACCATTTGCTTGTGTGTGACAGTGTCCTGAAGTGATAGGGAAATGGAGGAAAAAGGATTGAGGTAAGATCATGCCCCATTGGGGGACTGCCCTTTCTTCCTCTCTCTGACAAATGCAATCACCTTCTGGCTATACATGTATATATATATACACATATATATATATACATATATATATATATATATGAAAGTAATAACATCATAGTACTGCAAATATTTTACTCACATAAATTATCCTGTAAAAACCTGTTCCAAAGGTGCTGTATTTTGTCCATTTCTTTAACTGTCATATATGTAATTGCTATACTGATAACTGAGTAGATATGAAGAAAATAAACAGGTTGTTATAATTTTTTTTTTTTGCTAGAAGCTATTTGTGCTTTCCAGAGAGAGAGAGAGAGAGAGAGAGAAATCACCTCATACGATGGGACTTGTTTAGACCAAAATTACTTCCACTCTGTTTTCTCCTCCTATCAGGATTTGGGGCATGTGTGCTCATGTTTCCATGGTGTTTTTAAAGCTACAAGGCCCAGGATTCAAACTACATGGTCGGCCATGTGGAATTCAGCTCCGTAACCACTTAAACCTTATAGCAGTAAGCCTTCATTCTAACAGTCCTTAGACTGTATTCAAGAACTGTGGGAGTAGTTTTGACCAAAATCTTTTTCTTCGTTTTGTATCTTTTAGTTCAAGTTAGCCAAAGTTTGTCAAAATCACACATCGTATAGAATTAAAATATCCTAACAAATTCTCAGGAAATGATTCTCTTTACCATTGGCTGACTGAGGGTCAACTCAAGCAAAAAGAAGTGCTATGAGTGTCAAATGTTTTAGTTCTGACTTCAAGACAAAGTGGCTTTGATAGGCTGGCAGCAGGGATGAGGAAAGACAGAGAATAGACAGAGGGCAGAGGCTTCTAGATGTCTTAGGGGCTTTGAGGATACAGCCTAAGTACCTTCAGTTCTATCAAAACCCCATCATTAGCGTTCGTATGAATGAGCTTCTTTGATTTCCTCATGTTTACCATATAAAAATCAAAAACAAAACAGCAGAATCAGCTATGAGAGTCAGTGAGAAAAAGTAACCACATGAATGTATAAATTATTTTAACATATTAGAAACATAAACTGCATTTCCCCACAAAAAGTAACAGGGAAATGAGTGAGCTATTAGCCTCAGTGAAGCTCATAAATTAGAATTATTGATCAAAATTGATACTATTTTATGCATGTCCCCCTAATAAAAGATAACATTTTGGTGACGACAATAAATATTCAAGATTATGTCTGTAAAATTTTCATTTTAAGATTACTAAAATTTGAAATGATATATTATTTACCTGTTAAAACTGAAATGAATTCAACAGAGTCAAATAAGGGTAAAATTTAAATTCCTTTATATTTGTGGTTACAAGTGGAGATTAATTACAAGTAAAACAGCAGATAGAAGAAGTGAGTATGGATGTTGGAGTCCTGTGGTAATTTACACATATACCCATGTACGCAGGTACACAGTGCCCTGGAGGCTTTAGGAATTACTCCATAGAAGACAGTTGAGTATTCCTCACATATGGCAGAGGAAAAAAATACATTGAGAGCCCCAGGTCCAGGTCACTAAATATCTTTTACTTTAAAAAATCACATGATATAGAACAGTATCTAAATAACTTTATCTACCAGGATGCTCTAGTTAGTTAGGATTTTGAAGCACCTACTCTTAGCCTGGAACTACCACAAGAAGTTTATTTATGTCTTGTTTACAAATAAATTATTTAATTATCTCCGGAGGAAAGAAGGTAGCAGGAACAACAACAACAACAACAAAAAACTCTTCTTCAAGTGACAGAATAGAGTCTTAGAGAATTGAAATTGTTTGTTCATATTTATATACCTTGTAAATATCAGAGCAAGAATTAGGACCCAGATGTGCTAACTATCAAACTTTATACTCTATCAATTACCTAAGAGTGCTTCCCATCCTAGGACATTGTTTGTTAATGTGACTCACAGGTGTGACGGAATTGGGCTCAACATTATTTTACAAGAGTATGTGGAAACATAATCACACTTACTTCTCCTTATTTTAAATCTCTCTCAATTAATTATGACTCAAATTACTTCCATGCATGATTTTTCTCATGTCTGCAATAATTTTAGTCATTTGCTTGATTCCTTACCAAATCTCAATATTATTGAAAGATTTGCATTCTTTAGCGACAGGATGTTATTCCCCTTAGTTGGAATGTGGTTTTCTAAAGGCAATCGTAATACTTACATCCAATAATTTTAGTTCCATCTTTCACATAATGAGTTTCCCCTACCCATTTAAATAGCAATTTTCAGAGATATTGAATCAATTAAATTCTCAAGTTCTGTAATGTGTTTGCAATGTATGTAGTGTAGGAAGCTAAACAGATAATATGTTATAAAATAAAGAGAGAGAGAGAGAGGATCACACTGGTAATTAATTGCTGTTTCGAAACTCTGAAAATGATTAGTCTCTGCAAACTTTTATTATTTTTCTAGCAGACATACTTTAGCCCTGAAAACTTAAGTCTATATTTAACTACAAAGTTCTTTTGACATACATCAAGTTCAAAGAGAACAATTTGTGCCTGACACAGCAGCTTTGAAAACATCCCAATATGATATTAAATGATAATGATCAAATTCTGAAAGCATAGTCAACCGAAATAACCAGACAAATTACATTTTTTTAAAATATGATCTACAGCATAGTTTTTCTACTTGGCCCTCCACCCAATTACCAAATTATACCTAGCTAACTGAAATAAAAGTATAAAAAGCTTTCATGTCTACCCACTTTATAATGCGGGTAATTCTCTTGGTATTTTGTACCTAAATCCTAACAATCTTCTGGTAGAATTAAGTGAAAAAAGACATTCAAACTAAAGAATACAACTTATTTTTAAAATTGTAATAGAGAAATGGAATCTGAGTGATCATGTAATAATGAGAATATGTCAGGATGCTTTCCTGACATGATGACTACATGTTCTGAAAGCAGGCTGTCCCCATGACCTAGTGGTTAAGGCAGTTGGAGTCCACAGGTTGGATACACAGAGTCCTGCATATTCGCACCTGTCCAAAATGCCAAAATTCCAAAAGGAGGGGATGGCAGCATGCCCATTCCCCATGGGAGGAGTGTT